ACATTTGTTGGACAAAAACTTAATCAGGTTGATGAGATACTTGTCTACCCTTTTTGTTCACATTTCCCTTTCATTAGTTGGATTTGAAGACTATGCGGTACCTGTAAGTAGTAACCAAGCAAGAAAGAAAGCAATCAAGTAATTATTTTATTTACTGTAAACAATGGTAACACAATGCATTTTGAGCAATAATGCCCCCACCCCGAGAACATTTTGAAAGCAATGTCGAGGGTGGAAGGATGTCACTAGACAAAGTTTCAATTCAGCTCTGAAAGGAGTATTTTGCCTTGGTAAAATACAAAAAAATGCAATCTGGCTCAGAGAAGTGCTGTTGTTGTGAATGATAAAAGTAAAGAAGAGACTAACAAGTTTTCCACTGCTGCATCCTTCATTTATTTACTGAATAGTGAAAACGAAAAAAATATCAATGAGATCATGTGTGAATGAATTGCTAATAAATTCAACAAGCACACAGGCACAAGTATATCAAATAAACTTTCATACATAGAAAATAGTGATGGGTGCTACCAGCATTTTTGGTTTTCATATACCTGCCTGATACCATTAATTTTAGTCGATACCGATACTCACAATAAGAAATTAATGTTAACCAAGTCAAAGAATACTCTATCTGGAGTACCTGCCAAATAATCAAACATAACATTTGCAATGATAATTTTAAATCTAAACAATATTAACATGTTCAATGTTTCCTTAAATATATTGCTCATTAGCTACATGTTTTTGTTTAAGAACAGCATCATGTGAACATTTTTGCCTTCAGTCTGTTGCCTTCATTAAGCAATTGGTCAGGAATACTTAGTACAAAACACATAAAAAATGTAAAGATCAGTATGAAGAAAAATATACCTAAAATGAAGTCACTACTACTGTGGCAATCTCCCCAGAAATTTAAATGTGCAGTTGTATACCTTAGTTAAATGTGATCACCACTACTGTGGGTTAAATGGGATCTCCCCAGCAGTGTTGCACCAGAACACCGATTTTTCAGAGTTCTGGCCGGAACTAATAGAAAAACATGACCGGAACAAGAACTTTCTCGTTTTCAGATAGATAGAATATCAAGTTTATTTATTGAATAGCATAGGAAGAAATTTGGACTGCACAAGAAAATGTACACTATTAACACTTCATTATGATGTTTAACGTTAGTCAATCTTTTTATTCTAATATTTGCAAGCTCTCTCCTTGATGACTGAAAGTACCCAACTGTCTGGCAGCAGACAAAGTAACATGACCGTATATCGCTTAATGAGTCCATTCCTGTTCTTGCCACAACTTTTTTCCAGATCCTGTTCCAGCTGGAACTTGAAAAGTTGGTTCCGGTGTCACAGGACTTTTGCCTCTCAGGAGATTTTCCCTTCTTAAAAGGGGGGATATTCCTTGGAATATCGCGCCCGAGGGTTTAATATCCAGTGTTTCCACAATGGAATTATGAAATTTCTTGTTCTCTGCATATAATTTCCTGAAATTACCTGCAAACAACCTGGTTTATCTGGAAAATTCCTAATATTTTAAAAATTGTTTTTGCTATTAAAATGTATTTGGTTTCAGTTTAAGGCAACAAAAGTGATATTTTTCAGAACCCTAACACTATTTTATATATATTATTGTGTACAAAAATGTAACAAAACACACTGCAGCTCTTCTACATTCTATGCTATTTTGAATATTTTACACTTTAACAAGCTGTCAAGCTTACATAACCGGCATAACCATACTACCATAGTCCATACTATAAATTATTAAAGTACAAATATGGTATAGATGTCCAGTTATTATTATAACAGCTGGTCTGTTTTCACTTTCCTAACTCTTTTCCCAGTATACTGACATCATCAGCATTTGCTTTCATGGTATGGTGAAAACTTAAGATTTCCATAGTGCAATCAAGTTTAACAGTTTTACAACTGTTACTATCTGATAAGCTTGATTTCAGGATTGTCATCTTTGTGGTTAACAGAGCTAGTAAACTTTCATGCTTAATTCCTTCTCAGTCGGTAGTTTCGTATTACATTTCGATTCAATTTTTCTAATATAAATATCTCGGCGAGTATTTACCCCCCTTCTAAATAAATGCCACCATTGAAATCCTCACAATATAACCTTTCGAACAGGGGTCAAGTGCCATCAAAACATTACACAAACCGAAACAATCATATATTTATACTCACCGCTTCGCCAAACATTCAAGTGAGAAAAAGAGAAAAAGTTGAAGTACTCAATGTAAAGTTGAAGTAAATGTGTAAAATACTCTTTGTATTCAAGCGCTTTCATGTGGAAAGTTTCGTATGAATACGGCGAGTAGAAATATTTATTTTGAATTTTTCAAGGTATCGGGTTTTACTTGCACACGCTTGTATTACGTAATACTTGGCCAATAAGGAGCTCCCTTTAGCCGGGATGACGTCAAACTCACACATATAGGTGCACTTTGACCTGTAGAATCCATTTCTGGCATTTCCAGAGTCACGCGATACAAACTTCGCATTGTTTTGACGGTTTTTCCTCGTATTTCCGGTTGGGATAAACGCAAAATTCTGTAAGAAAATAAATGCAAAATTCGGCAAGAAAACTCACATTTTAAAGATAAAAGCTTGAAAATAACAGTATACATGTTATTTTTAACTGCTTCATTCATCAAGACTACCAGAATGAGCATACGTCTCAAGGGGCCGAAGTTATGTTCGGCGAGAGGTATGTCTATGTTTATAATTTGTTAGTAATATTGTGTAATTTGATCAAATACCAAGCTCGCTGGACTTTCAAAGCTCATAAATCGCTACAATTTATCCACTGACTAAAACTATCGTTATAAATTAGTGTATATATTTATACTGAATTGAATGGTGGTATTTTCATCTACATAGCGTATTTTCATCTACATATGAACGAATTACATCCGTAGAACGTGCACGTTCTACGCGTAATGGACCCTGCTGAGAAGGAGTTAAAGGTTAGTTGTTTGATCAGTTTTAATAAACTTAAGTTGACTAAATACTTGCTCAACTGCTGCATTAGAATATTTTCTCCTTGAATATCACCTGCCAGTATTCTTCAGCACTGAGTTGCTCATTCAAGTCTGGGTTCAATGAACGACTTCTTCATCAACGCTTTGTAAATCAGCAACATCTGCAAGGAGGTTGAGACAGAGTTGTTTCGTCTATAATCAACAAAAACTTGTTGGCTCTTAGCTTTGACACACAAAGTTCAATAGAATGAAATCCTAGTACTTGACATATAATGTTAGTAGCCTTTTGTTTTCCCATGGTTACTTGGCGAAGAACTTCATCGGATGGAAAAAGGTCCCTGAGGACAGGCAATAGGTCATCCCCTATGCTCAGAGGTAGGTTTTTTCAATGATGAAATGGCAAAGTTCGAATTCCATTCATGCTGCGTGTTCCCTGCATCCCAACAACAAGCTTAGTGGACGTGTGACTTGTCCTTTTATTCTGCTTATCTCGTTATGCTTCTTGTTCTCCATGTGTCGTCTCAGAGCAGGTTTTGCACAGGATAGTTTCCAATCACAAAGTTTACCATAGGGAAGTCCTGCTGGCTTTTCTAGCCAGTCCTTAAACTGATTCTAAGAGAGCCAAGAATTTTGAAGCTGTTGGGCAGGATTCGGCAGTTTCGCCTTCTTTACGGACACATTTTTTCTACTTTTCGTTGGTTCAACGGTTGAAGTCGCTGCTTGTGTACTTGGGTTACTTTCATCATGGTTTGAATCATAGGAATCACTTGAATTTTCAATGTCCTCTTCAGCCGTTGCTGTGTTTACACGCTTCATTAGTTTATTTCATAATTCATATGTGCTAATACAACATTAATTTAAAAAAAGATAAATGCATATAAAAACAACTCAGTGAACCAAATAATATAAATATTGAGCCACAAGGCCTAGGTGTTTTTGTGTTGCTTGATTGAAGAGCCCAATTTTAGGGCATGCATATGCCATATATAGTCATGACAACAAACAGGACTTGATTTCAGCTAATTTGCCATAAATGCAAACCACTGATACAAACTAGTATAGTCTAGTCATACATAGCACTTAACAACATATTTTGAAGAATTTCCTTAGATTTCTCAAATCTTGGCTGAATTCCTGAATTTTCCTTCATCCTGATTTTTTCCTTTGTGATAGTAAAATTTCCTGCAAACAGGAAATTTCCTGCAATGTGGAAACAGTGCAAATATCTTGGTAGAAGTTGCCAAACACCTATACCACCTGAATCCATCTAAAGCTACTGGTCCTGATGGTATTCCCGGTCGGATTTTAAAAGAATACAGTGCTATTATAGCTCCAAGTCTTTGCTCACTTTTCAACCACTCCCTTCGCTATGGAACTGTTCCTTCAGAATGGATATCCGCTGATGTCACACCCATACATAAGTGAGAAAGGAACTTGGCATGGATTCCTTAACGGTTGCTCATGTGTCACCCAACTTCTGACCACTCTTCACCGAATCGGTCAACTACTCGACAATAACATCCAGACGGGTGTTGTCTTCCTTGATTTCACAAAGGCCTCTGATTCGGTTAATCATAACATTCTAATGAAACTAAGAATGTATGGAATATCAAGAAACCTTTACATGTTGAATTCACCTTGTTCTCAATACTTCTGTTTTAACAAACTTAATACATCATTAAAGTGCATATGACATGAAATTTATTATTTTCTTAAATGAAAGAACTCTTTAAGCTGTAGTGTAACTTATATTTCAGTTTCTTGTTTTTTTGGTTTGTTCCCGAGATATATCAATTTGTTTGATATGTAAACGAGTGTGAATATGTCCGCAACCAACGTGACGTCATAAATTAGCGGACATATTCACACTCATTTACATGTCAAACAAATTGAAATATCTCGGGAACAAACCATAAAAACAAGAAACTGAAATATAAGTTACACTACAGCTTAACTCATTCTCATCCGGTCGAAAAGTACCAATTTCGAGTGGTGTTGTTTCAAACGCTTATATCTCTCAAATTATACATCGCACGGAAACAGAAATTGCATCGTTCGAAAGAGGAGGACTTCCGCTTTCCAACAATACCAATTTCAATTTCAACCGGAGCTTGGTTAACGATTTACTCGCATAAATTTGCATAAATTATGGTATAAAAAAATGTTGCAATTATGCATAAATGTATTTAGCGGTTCAAATTTCAAATATGTCAAAAAATTTTATGAGTATGACTGAAAGACACGGTTATGATCTACAAGTACCCGAAGTTTCATGCATGTAGCATAAATAGAAATGTTTTTATTGAATTTTTATATAAACTAGGTAGTGGAGTAAAATTTACATTTTGTGCTCACATGAAACAAATACCTTTATCAAAGGTCCTTTTTTATTGCTGCAACATGTTATCAATACAAATTTCCAATATTTCTTACTCTCCAAAGATAGTATGGCACCAAAATAAGTCTGTGATACCCCCAAAAGAACACTCAAATCATGATTAGCAAAATGTCTTTATTTCTACAATTACTACATACATTCTTAGATAATCATTACACCATTGACTTTAGTTATTAGTGGCATAACCAGCCTCAAAATTGGGTCATGCTATTGAAATTTGAAATAATCACTACTCATTTGTTTAGAAATTGATTGTTTTCACAATCTAGAACATGAAAA